AAGAAAGATTGTTTTTTAACCATGATGAAAAGTAAGTTTAAAAGGGAAAAAAAATACAAGTTGAAGAATTAGTTATCAACTTTGAAGTCATTTTGTTGCATTATTAATGTTTAGTAGAAATTATTGAATAGAAAATAGGAATGTATTTGTATGATACTTTTATATTTATTAAATTTAATTTAATAAACCATATTATGGAATAATTGTACTTAAATTTTTTCTTATGTACTTATATTGATTTGAATTTGATAATACATTAAGGAAGAGTTTTGAGCCAGGTTTAAAATAAAATGAATTAACATTTTGTGAATGTACATTTTTATTATATTGATTCGTATACTAATTAAAATGTTTTAAGATATAATGTTAATTAATAATATAATAAGTAAAACCCTGTTTGAAAACGATTTGTAAGTATAAATTATGAATAATAAAAATCATGTTATCTTAAAAATAAAAGAAGGAAATTTACAAATACTACAAAGGTGAAAACACTTAAATATAAAAGCAAGATTAAGATAACATTAAAAAAAAAAACTATTACAAGTTACTATAGTTTATTCATTCTAATCTCTACATGATATCATCTTACTTTTCTCAATATTTATCATACTATTTTTCTATCATATAATTAGTAGATACTAAATGAGCTTAAAAAGAACATATATATAAGTTAAAAGAGATAATATAAATATAAGAATAAAAAATTAAATTTTGTTTAACTATAAAAAAAACAAATTAATAGTTAAACCTATCATGAAACACAAGATTAAATCATACATCACTTCAAAATTGCATGAGGGTTTTGTTAACCTTTTTCTTTAACCCTTAGTGTCTTCTGACTAGTAATGTTGGGTTTACCATGTCTTAAATTATTTGTGATTGAACTATGATATAACCAACAATCTCAGCAAATCAAGCAAATGGATGCAATTCACAGACTCTCAGTTTGTTTTAAGCATCAAAGTGAGCCAAATTAATGTCTGTAGCTGTTGAAGAAGAATCAGTCCATGGAACACCTTTAGTTAAGCTCAAACTTCTTCTGTTATTTGTTTTATTTTCATCCATTTGACTGTAATACTCTCTCATTACCTCCAGCTTCATCTCATCCATCACTTCACTACACTGTGAATCAAACTCTGGGACCATTGTTCTGCCTTCAAGCATACTTAGCACTGAAGACATAGAGGGCCTGTAGCTTGAATTAACATGGGTGCAATGGAGAGCCACTTTGACAACCAACCTTACCTCATCTTCATTGAAATATAAATTCAACTTTGGATCAACTAGCTCCATTATGTTACCTCTCTCATTCAACAAGCGTGCCTGAAGAAAAACAGAAAAACGTTTTTATTTGAGAGTTTTATATAGTTGAAACACAACCTATGCTGAGTAGCAACTGTGTAACACTGTTTTAAGTGTGAAGCTTCTGAATCACAGCATATTGGACACTTTGGTTGCATCTAGAATTTCACAAAAGATTATAATAATTGTTGGAAGTCCTGTGTCGATTAGATAATGTCAATTTATATGTAGTTGCAAACCTATCCTTACAAGCTGGTTTTGTAGAGTTGAGTTAGGTTTAAAGTACACTTCCAACAGTGTCATTTGAAATACTTGAATCAGTAACTTTTTAGTAAAATCATAGAAAGGTGAAATGCATGCAATGTTTTTCTGCTAGAGTTTCACAGCATGGAAATTGAATCATAGGTTAACACACCACAGAAAAGTATATTTTTTTATGTATATTCAGAAAGATATCAACAATGGAGAATGTTGACAAAAGAAGTTACCCAATCCAGAAGATAGAAAGCTTCCCCTCTCGACTGCCGAATAGTGTTTCTCTTACCACTTAAAATTTCCGAGATAACAACTCCAAAACTAAAAACATCTGCTTTTTCAGTTAGATAACCATGCATTGCATACTCAGGAGCCATGTATCCCCTGCACAATTGAAATACAAATTCAAGCAACCTTATTAAATAACTGTCAAAAACCTTTCTAGATTGACTTTGATAAGGCTTGTAAGTGTACAATCACCTTTCATAAAATATCTAGATAAAAAGTTTGAGCGTCATGAACATAAACTATCAGTGTAAGTTTTTTTATACTGCTAACTAATTAGAGATCATACTAAGTTGTAATGTCATGATCATCAAAGTCAACAAACATGTCGTGGTGATTTATGATTGAATGGCAGTGTAAAACCACTTTATACGAATAGTTAATATCCAATTTTTGTAAACAAATATAATATACTAACTCACCAAGTCCCTGCAATTCTGGTGCTTATGTGTGTATTTTCCCCCATACGAAGTCTGGCCAAACCAAAATCAGATATCTTCGGGTTTAGGTCTTCATCAAGCAACACATTAGAGGTCTTTAAGTCTCTATGAACTACTTTCAGTCTTGTTTCTTCATGCAGGAAAGCTAAACCTCTAGCAATGCCAATACAGATGTTTTTTCTTGTTGCCCAATTCAATTTTAAATGGCTATCTTCTGAATCTTTGCGAGTGACAAACATCAGACAGCAAGTCATTTAGACTTGTATACATTTTAAGATTGAAAGAATCAAACAAGAGTATATCAGAGCAATGACTTACCAAATAAAGCATGTGCTAGGCTATTGTTTTCCATATATTCATACACTAACAACAATTGATCACCCTCAGCACAACAACCGTGAAGTTTAACCAGATTAGGATGTTGCAGAGCTGAGATCATGCCAATCTCATTTATGAACTCTCGGGTTCCTTGCTCTGATTTAGAGGAAAGTTGCTTAACTGCTATTGGTTTGCCGTTGGGCAGAATGCCCTGAATCATGGTCATTTTTGTGTAATTTCAAAACACAGATTTAGTCATGAATATCCATAAATACAATAAAATTGCACAAAATAATTATATAATTGGAATACCTTATAAACAGGACCGAAGCCTCCTTCTCCAATCTTATGGGAAACATCAAAGTTATTTGTTGCAACTTTGATTTCATGCAAGGTAAATACACCAGTTTGCAATTCTATGTCCCTGAGATCTGCCAGTAAAAGAAAAAAATTATACATATTAAGCTTTTGGAAGAAAAGACTAAGAAAATGAGCAAACATGTGGATATAATTGTTTTTGTTAGATATATTGCGTTTAATGTGAAGTTGTAATCAAAGAGTATAACTGTCTTAACTGTTAGACAGTATAAATACTCTTTGTATTCTTTCATTGTGGTTAATGAGAAAATTTAGTTTCTTGTTTTCTCAATTCCTTTGCAGACCTTTCTGTACTTATGGTGTTTGTGAGATTTTGTGTGTAGTTGCTGTGTGTTTGTGAGTGCAGGTGCTGTCCCTAGTCCAACGTTTACTTTCATCATATAGAATTAGCAAGATAAGCAACTAGAACGTATGGTTAAATCTCATGAATAAAAAATCAATGTTGTGCTTGATGATTCTCAAATGGTTCAAGTAAATGATTGAAGAATGGAAATCATGATAGCAAATGTAGTTACTTTGTGATTACCTTCCATTGATAAATGTTCATTTCCACCAAAATGACGTCCGAAGTTTGAGTTTGACATTAAGCCCTCCACCAAAGAATGCCAACCAAGATGACAACAACCACTAATGAAAACACTCCAACGAAGTACGCTAACAGTAATCAAGATGACAACAATCACCAATGCAACTGCAATTATAACAATCACTCATGAAGACATGCCACCTGTCGAGTCTTCTTTTGTTCTGGTTCCACCTGCAGAATCTGTTTGGTTATTAGATAGATAGAGCCACATGAATCAGATAATACCATAAAGGTGACCATATAAAAAATAACACTTACATGAAAACCCATCATATGTGACAGAAATGGCAGATATAAGAGGACCGTTTACTGATTTATATGGGATATAGGTCGTCCCTTTGCCTGCCCAGTAGAAACGGATCTCCAGGTCATTATCACTCACATGAGCAGGAAATTCTTTTATGACCTCCTTCCCAACTCCTTGTGCTTCATTTGCAATGTTAAAATCTTTCAACACTCGCTTTCCCTATAACGTTTCAAATACAAGCCTAAATGAGTTTTGCTAATGAATTCTATTCAAAATTATTGTGGCAACTGTTTCTGCTTATGAAGTCAATGAACTGATTGCACTAAGGTTCTTCTGTTTGGATAAACATCTATAAAGACTTTTACAAGAGAAAATAAGAAGAAAGAATGAAATGAGTTTCTCCATATGTTAAAACTAACCAAACTAGTGACTATTTGGTTAAAATGTTGTACCTGAATGTATACATCAAACACACGCCTCCCTAAGTCTCTGTATGTGTTATCATCAGTAAACATTATCTCAGCAAAGTGAAGCTTTACTGTGTAGACTCCATTTGCTAAACAAAATCCGTAATAACTCAATGACATAGGAGAAACACGTGCATTCTTATATAATTCAGCATTAGTCATGTCAAGCCTAGTTTCATTTTTTGTGGTATAGGGTGGAAGCTGTCGAGGAAAACTATTATTGTCCATGAAGAGACCTGTGTTGCTCAAGGCCCAATTGTTTCCAATTTGTTTATATACTGCTGGTCCAGCAGGATATGTATCTTCATCATATGTTATACCTCCAATAATAGTCTGGTTTCCACCACAATTTATGTGTAGAGATGTAACTTCTGGAACAAGAAAAGAGGGTCAATCGTCAAAACCATTACAAAAAAAGTCAAGCAAAAAATGAAATGGTGATAATGAAGGAAATTCATTCAAATCATAATATTTCATCAAACTACTTTTATCTTTTCTTTTCCTGCTTTCTCTGGACATGCACATTGTTGGAAATCCAAGTATGGGTTCAAGTCTCATATTAAATAAAAATGAGAAAGTAGAGTACTGTATAAAGGTGAAAGACCCATTAACCTATTTTTTTAAGGTTTTTGATAAAGAGCGGTGTCAATCCCTTATATAGTTGGGTTCAGATGTCATTGGTGTTTATATACACATAACATTAACTTTACAGCTGCCATTTTCTTTTCTGTTGTTGATGGTGGAGGTAAGGAATCCATACAAGAAAGATAACTTATGTTGTTGCAGACGTTGGCAAAGAGAATTACAATATTAGTAAGACAATTTAGTTTACAGAAGTTACACATTTTGTTAACTTACTTTTGGTACAGTTTCTATTGCTGCTGTCACAAGACACTGGTCCTCTGAGGGAGCACAAAATGGATAAAAATAACAACATAAATTACACAAGAGAAAGGAAAAGTCAAAGAGTCCATATCTACATGTTATAAAAGGTAGCACATGAGATATAAAACTCACAAGTTATGCCTTGAGAAGCTTGCAAACAAGTTCCTATGACATAGAAAGAGATAGTTAACACTCAGAAAACAAAAAGAGCAGAGAAAATAAAAGAGAGCATGAATATAAGTTTTCATACACATTTTTCTGGTAGCATGTTTTTGGCTCTTGGTTTCCAACACTGAAGTTGTTATATGAAAGATCTCTGCATAATGTGAACAGGGTAATTCAGATGCTTAGAAGATGAAACAATTTCATTAGGTCAATAAAATTATTTTGATATCAAATACTTCTTGCTTTGCTTTCCCATGGAAATTTTCAAAGGGGTTATATGTGTAATGTTCAAATTAGGACTCACAAACTCCTGCTATTGTCCATTGTCCACTCAGGCACCGGTCCAGTGAAGAAATTTCCTGTTAAATATCTAAAGCAAATTTTTTATCAATACTTAAAGTAAAATAAGATACAAGAACCAAAGCTGAGAGCACACCATTTATTGATGAAGCCTATCAAAAGATAAATAAGGTAGTAGTCTACACTGTAATGATTCCCTACCATGCTTTCTTTTTCTTTTCTAAGTAGAATTTGATTTATTTGAATTGTGATAAGTTCCCAGATTTTATTAACACTGTAAAGACAGGTTCTTGGATGATCTTCCTGTGAAAACCAGACAGCCTTGTCTGTATCTAGTGACTGGTACACATAGACATATGAAGATATGATAAAGAGGCAAAATGAGGGTATAATATATGAAACCTAATGATCATTTGATTATCTATAAATTTAAAGTAGCTTCTGCAAAGTATGCAGCTAAAGTACAATATCTAAATATTATCTTACTTTATTCAGCAACCAAAAGAATATATGTATTCCGTTTTGGACTAAAATTAGGAAATGTTAAAAATTCTCACATGTAGGCTGCTGCACTTAATTGTTGAAGGTTTCTTGGCACTTGTCCATATAATTTGTTATAGCTTAGGTCTCTGAAAGAAAAATTTTATCAAGAAAATGTCAAAAAAAGTGCTGAGAATAAAAATCATAATATGTATTTTCTACATGTGAGGACCACAAGAAGCATGTCATGTTATATCCATTAGACTTTTCAAATTGTAAGGATCTTAGATGATCTTTGGGAAAAAAGAGAATTGGAACTTACAAAGTTTTCAATTTCGGCAGGTCTGCAAGATACTGAGGAAATGTGTCATTGATATTGCAACTCCTTAATATCCTGTCAAACAATCAAATATATGAATTCTGCAATAACAAATTGTTGATATCTCATTCTTTAGATTTAGACGTTCTCAAATCAGTACCTACAGTGAGGCACTGACTTCAAGAAAAGAATTAGAATAAACAATTAAAGTAATTCACTCACAAAGTATTCAGATTTTTCATATTTTCAAGTGGTGGAAAAGTTGAATCAGGTCCGTTCAAGTCACTAATCCTCCTGCATTTCATATTTAAAGGATGAAAAAACAACAGTTAGAGAGAAATTCAGTGTTGAGGCCCTACTAACAAATGAAAGATTAAACTATTTATTTAGTCTCTCTAATCATCTAGCTTTAAAATTTTAGTTCTTATACGAGTGTTGGAAGTTCTATATCAACCAGAGATAAAACCAATTTATAAGACTAATTTATAATATATAAGTGGGTGCAAACCTTACCTTATAAGTTGGTTTTGTGGAGTTGAGTTAGGTTTAAAGTCTACTTCTTAACATAGTATCAAAGCTAGGTTAAAGTCTATACTAGCGATATTTGTTCCAGATTAGAGTCTATTGTAGATATATTTGTTATTTGTTGGGCATGTTGTTCTCCAAGGTTATCGGATCGGATTAGGCTTAAAATCTACTTCTTAATAATAAGAAATAAGTTTTAATTTCTGTAGTCTTTTTTGCTAATTTAATACTGTAACAAAACTTGTGTAGGGATTTTCCACCACTAGAAAATGCTTTCTGGTGTTAGAAGCCAAACAAAATTTTATGCATATGTGGAAATGAAATTTTCTTAAATAGAGACTATAAAACTTAAAACA